TTTTCCTGAGTTTCTTTTTTTCTTCTTCCTCTTTTTCTTTTTTTTTTAATTAAAAGAAATTTTTAAAAATTCTTTGTTACAGAGGATAGGTCTATGAGAGGTAGGAGGAGGGATACAGAGGGAAAGCTAGGTGATGTACAAACAAGAGATACCCAGGAGATGCATGATAAGAAAGGGACGTAAGCCAGTCACCTAGCAAAAGCAACAGAGATGGCCTAAGCCCTGCTCAGGTATCCTCACAAAGTTAAAAAGACTTACAATAGGAGTTCTTAATGTGTTTTCTGTGTCATCGATCCTTTTGGCAGTCTGGTGACCCCTTCTTAGAACAATGTTTTTAATTACACAAAACAAAATACGTAGGATTACAAAGAAAACCAGTTACATTGAGATAAAGATGTAATTTTTTTTCCCATCCAAGTTCACAGGCCCCCTGAAATCTATCCTGGATGCCTTGAGGGGTCTCTGACCTAGAGAGGAAGGCCTCTAGCACACCATGTGAGTCCCGTTGGCAAAATTTATGGGAAACACAGAAAAGCGCTGCACAGGATAAGAAGGTGCAGCTTTTGATTTGCAACATCTAAAAGGTGCCTGGAAGCAGAATAAGTGTCCCCAGAAGGTGACAGATCCCTCCTCAATGGAGGTGCTCAAGTAAAGAATGAATGGCCCCTCGGGAAGATGTTGTAGGGAGGGCTTCTGTTCAGGTATGAATCAGACAGTTTCACCTTGGAAGTCCCTTGCAACTCTGAGATCTGTGATAACTATCATCATGTATCATCACCACTTTCCTCCCCTTCATCATCAAACCCCAGTCACCATGGTCACCATAATGTACACCACCATCACTACCACTATTCCCACCCTAGGACATGGTGGTAAGCTCCCAGGTATCTACAGCGCTCATCCCATCACCATCATGATGCTATAAAGTCCCTTAAGTTATGACTGCCATGATGCATTTTATAGTGTCTACTTTGTCATTTCTATGACCTTTCTTAAGACTTGTACAAGCATATGATTGCTTTTTGCAATTTTATAACTACAAGTGTCATCCTTCTTCTGGGGAATGTAAATGAATTGACACTGCTTACCAGAGAACATATACACACATACACACATTCACATGCAGCTATATTAATAGTTGAAGCCTCCCCCACCCCTTGGGGATCCTTATGTTTTCTTCCCCTTCTCTATACAATCTGAGTTAACATTCATACACAGAGTCCCCAGGGAAAAAGCTATAAGCATCTCCATCAAAGGACCTTTGATCCTCACTTGAAAGAATGACCTGAGGCCATCCTCCTGGCAATAGCCAGGCAATTTTGAGGCAGAATTCCCAGGGAAGCTTCATGCCCATATTAACCAGTTAATCTTTTGTGTACCTATGTAATTATAATTGCTTCTGACCTTCTTTTGCTATAAATAAGATAAGGTCTTCTTGTCTCCCCAAATATAACTCTGCATAAGGATTGAATTCAGCCCCTCATAGTATGAGGGGTCATAAATAAAGTACTCCTGTCTCCTTTGTTAGCCACTGAGTAGATTGGGGAACATTCTGATTTCATATTCTCATCCGTCTCAACAAATTACTGTGCTCAATGATCCTAAAGTTCAGATATGGAAACAGACAGATAAAATCATGCTACCAGACATCCTACTGAATCTCCTGAAGAGGGGAGAAGAGGGGCTTGAGATGAGACTTTTCCTGTACAATAGGGGAAAAATTTAGAGAGCTGCCACACCATCCCCCCAACCTAGAAGAAGATCTGGAAAATACAGCACCCACCCTTCTCCTGTCTCTAGATTTCTGGAGGCTTCAGTTACAGGATATTATTTAATAAATTTCATTTGAATATGTAAGTCTTGTGCATGAGTTTTCTCCTTTTCACTCTCTTAATACAGATGTAGAGTTACCATATAATCACTCCTTTAGAGAAGCCTTTGCTGTCAAATGTAGGAGCTGAAATGGGTGGGAGAAACTAATCAAGTCTCCTCATTTTACAACTCCCAATACTCACACAGAGAGCCCTCATTCAAATTGCTACAGTGAATGATTCACATGACCATGGAATAACAGAATCTAGCATGAATCTCTGTGTATGCTAGTCTACTTCACCCATATTCCAAAGGCCACTTACCTGCCTCTTCCCTCTCGTTGACTTCAAAACAGGTCCAATAGTCCTTCTCTTTTATCCTCACATTCCTACGATCTAAGATCTCCATGGTGAGCTCCTGGGCTGTCATGGAAGCTGGGATCTGAAGGGAAGAGGCATAAAGAGATAAGACCCTTCTTTCCTAACCCCAGAAGACTAACCCTAAAAGTCTGAGCCATGAGGGAAAGCCTACATTCACCAGGACCCCAGCCTTTGGTCCAAGTGCCCCCCAGCAAGGTAGAATGGAAAAAAGATAGGATTTGTAGTCCAAAGTCTCAAATTCAAATTCTGCCTCAGAAATTTACTAGCTGTGTGACCTCTGTCTTAGTTTCTTCATCTGTAAAATGAGGGTGTTGGCCAACTAGATGACCTATAAAGCTCTTTCCTGCTCTAAATTATAAACCTGTCACTGTAGGAGCTCTGGATTTGACTGGGTTAGCCAGGGCCACCTTACTTCATCCTGATAGGGCCAGCCTCTCCAACTTCCCTTCAGATATCAATTATGTATGAGGCTAGGATTTGAGTTCTCTTTCTCACATCAACTTCCTGCTGATTCTGAATAAGTCATTTTACTTTTCTGAGCCTTAGTTTCCCCGTCTCCAAAATAATAATAATATTTTTGCCACCTACTGCATAGGGTAGTTGTACATTTTGAACATTAAAGAACTATAGAAATGAGAGCCATTATTGTTGCTAGCTGTGTGCCTCAGTTCCTTCACACCAAAAAAAAATGGAAATGCTCAACCTTGCACTACCACCTCACAGATCTATTCTGAGGAAAACACTTTGTAAACAGAGCTATCATTACTATGATCATCTCTTTTAACTCCATCCAGAGCCTGGTTCTATGGATAGCCTGTATTAGCTCTGAACTCTACTCACATCAGCTCCAGAAAACCTCAGTGCTGGGCTTCCTGGAAGACAGACCTAACAGAGAGGCACCATGTGTCCTGTCTGACAGGCTTGCTACAGCACCAAGGACAGCTCCACAAGCAGAAGCCAAGACTGGGCTTGGGGTTTCTGAGTCCCTGAGGCCTCACCTTAACATGCTGCTCGGTCTCCGTTGCCTTCTTTTCCAAGTATACAGTGCAGATGAAATCTCCAGCATGCTGTGGAGGGGAGAAGAGAGGGAATTAGAGAGAGTAAAAGGGTAAAAACAGGGACAGAAGCTTCACCTAGAGAACTGGTGCTCTAGCAGCTTCCTTCTACCCTCTGAAACATCTGGAGCAATAGAAGGCTGAGGACAGTATACTGGATAGGATAGAACACTGGACTTAGATTCAGGAAGAGCTAGGTTCAAATCTTGCCTAAAAGACTGGGCAAGTCCCTTAATCTCTCTGTGCCTCAGTTTCCTCATTTATAGAATAAAGGAGGTGAACTCTGTGACCTCTAGAGTTCCTCTTGCTCTAAAATCACCAAATGGAGGAATATTCCTATACCAGAAGAAACAAGGTACGTGAAGAATATAGAGAAGCATGAGAAAACTTCTATGAACTGACATAAAGTGAAGTAAGCAGAATCAGGAAAAGAATACACACTGACAATGTAAATGGGAAGGACAAATAACAACAATAACAACAGATAACATCTTTGTAAAACTATATGCTATGTGCCAGGCACTATGCTAAGCATTTTTAGAGGTATTAACTCATTTGATCCTCACAACCACCCAGCGAGGTACTATAATTAAGCTCATTTCACAGATGAAAAAACTGAGGCAGACAGCCAGTGGTTAAGTGACTTGCCCAGGGTCACACAGCCAGTAGGTGTCTGAGGATAGATTTGAATTCACATATTTCTGATCTAGGCCCACAGCTCTTTACACTACACCACATAGCTGCCCGAAACACACCAAAAACAACAACAATAAACAAACCCTGAATGCCATATAATTTAAGAGATTTTAAAAATGCATTTCCCTTCCTTCTTTGTCAAAGGGGTACTGTGGGTGTCAAACCTTACATACACTATCAGACATGCATGTAGTGCTTGTTAGTTTTGCTGAATGACTTATTTTTTTCCTCCTTTTTCTCTTATTGTTACAAGTGATAGCTTTTGGGATATAGGAGTGGGAATAGACATACACAGAGAGATAGAAACAGAGGACAGACACAGAGAGAAGGAGAGAGACAAAGGTGATATTAATAATGAAAGTCATCAATAATTTTTAGAAGAAAATGAGCATTTATTAAGTGCCTACTATGCGCTTGGTACTTTACAAATATTATCTCATTTGATCTTCATAATCTTGGGAGGCAGGTGCTATTATTATATAGTTGAGGAAACTGAGGCAGACAGAAGTGAGGAGATTTGCCAGACACAGCTAGTAAGTGTCGCAGGTCAGATTTAAATTAAGGTCTTCCTGACTCCAGGTTCAACACGCTATCTACTGTGCACCTTAAAGAAGAGGGGTATTATTATTGTTGTTATTATCACTATCATCATCATCATTATTCTCATATCCTTCATTCTAGCCAAATTGAATCATTTGCTATTTCCTGGATCAGTAGTACAAGGGTTGAAGCCCTGAGCCTGGAGTCAGGAAGACCTGAGTTCAAATCTGGCCTCAGACACTTCCCAGCTGTGGAACCCTGGGGCAAGTCACTTAACCTCTGAATGCCAGTTTTCTCAACTGTAAAATGGGGCTAATAATACATCTACCTGCCAGGGTTCTTGTGAGAATCAAATGTTTTTACATTTTCATAGCCCTTAGCACAGTGCCTGGCATATAGTAGTTGCTACATAAATGCTATCATTATTATTATTATTATTATTATTATTTATTCAGGCCTCTTATCTTCATGCATTGGCGCCTGAATAGAATCCCTCCCTCATTTCTACCTGCTGAAATCCTTTCTCTTCACAGCATGGCCCAGGTGCTAGATTCCTCCCAGCTGAAAGTCATTCTCCTGCGGCAAAACTTCCTAAAGCCCTTTCTTTTGGTTTTACACTGACCTTCCTATGTATCCCTAGCACTTAGCACAGAGCCTGGCATGTACAAAGTGCTTAACAAACTCCTGCAGACTGATTCACTGACCCTTACGCTCTTCCGTGCATCACAGCTACATCACAAGTGCACATGTCCTATTTGCCCCTCCCAAGTTCACTTAGGGCAGCACTTGAGTTATTTTTCATCCTTCTAGCTCTAAAAATCTATGATCTTCTGATCCCTAGAACCTCTCCCATATCACTCATCCCCTGAACTATCCCTCTTGGGGAGCTGCCTTCTCCTGGAAGAGGTTTATCTGGAGTTGGGAAGGTTGAGACGGCGGAGGAATTGGGAAAAGTGAAGCAGAGACATTAGTCAGCATGAGAGGAAACAGGGGCCTGGCCGTGGAGGGCAGAGGGACAGTCTAGCCGAAGTGAGGTGAGAAAAGGGGGTCTGGCCAAGGTGAACTTAAGTAGGAGGGTCTAGTGGGGGTGCATTGGGGGGCACTGGGCTGGCCAAGGGCAAAGGAATGGCAGTGTGCATCCCCAGCGTAGAGAGCAGAAGGGCATTTCTCAAAGTTGCCTGATGCCCTCCACTGCCCAACTGCTGATAAACCTCCCCCTCTCCCATCCCCTAGTAGGCACTCAGTTTGGATATGAAGGGCTGCCATGTGGGAGGGCAATCAGACTTGTCCTAGTTGGCTGCAGAAATCACAGCTAAGGCGCAATTAGGGAAAGGTGCAGAGTGGCAAGTGTAAGGCACAGAGCATCCAAATCATGAACGGCCTCCTAATAATCAAAGCTGTCCCAAAGTGGAAGGGTCTTGGCTCCCCACCCCTACAGGTTTTCATGACCACTTGGAGATGGAAAGCACACAGATGGGCTTGAGTTCAGATCCTGTGACAATGACTACTTGTGTGACCAAGGGTCCGTAACAGCCTCTGCTAAGCCCATTTCCTCCTCTGTAAAAGGAGAATAATACCTACCCTGCCCATTTCACAGTATTGTTGTGAGGAATGGATGATGTCATCCTTAGGGCAACTGTGATATTGCTGGAGGAGCAGTTCCTCTTCAAGCAGAGAGGCTGGAGTGGATGCCCTCTGGGACTCCTTTGAACTCTGAGATTATGTGACCCCTGAGGTTCTATGACATCTGGGAGCCTTCCACTCCATGCCCCTGGCCTCTCTGTGGAAACCAGACGACAGATCCCAGGCTCTGCTCTGGGCCCCCAGCATCTGTGCTCCTGAAAATGTGCCCTAACCTGCTCCCAGAACCGGACGCATGCTGCCTTCACACTGCCCAATTCCCATTCCACCTTCTGCAAAAAGCCTTTCCAGGCTGCCCACGCACACCACACCCCCAGTGCCTCCCTCTGAGATTAGTCCCCATTTACACTGTTTCTGTTTATCTTGTTCAAAGTCTTAAGTATCTTGTTAAGGTCTTCCTGATAGTTGTTTTGCATGTCGTCTCCCCACCTTACATAGGGAGTTCCTTGAGAGCAGGGACCCTGTTTTTGCCTTTCTTTGTATCACCAGCTAGGGCAGCTAAGTGGTGCAGTGGATAAAATGTTGGGCCTGAAGTCTAGAACACTCATCTTCATGAATTCAAATCTGGCCTCCAACATTTAGAAGCTGTGTGACCCTGGGCAAGTCACTTAGCCCTGCTTGCCTCAGTTTCCTCATCTGCAAAATGATCTGGAGAAGGAAATGGCAAACCACACCAGTGTCTTTGCCAGGAAAACCCCAAATGGGGCCACAAAGAGTCAGACACAACTGAAGAACTAAACAACAACACAAAAGTATCCCCAGCACATAGCCCAGTGCCTGGCACACAGGAAACGCTTAATAAATGCTTGTTAACCAAGTGAAGGAATGAAAGAAGTTGAGGAATTGAAGGGGCAGGGGAAAGGACAGGCAGGGACCAGTGGCAGCTGGCTAGAGACAGGAGGGGGTCTCCTTCCCTCATGTTTGGAGGGTTAATGAAGAAAGGGCAGGAAAGGGAGAAGGAGAGAGGCCAAAGCCAGGGAAGGATGGAACTTGGCTGGAGCTGCTGGGCTGTCTGGGCTCCCGAGGCTGCCTTACCTGTGTTCCACTGGCTGAGCCTGCCACCCTCATCTTGACAATGGCTGTAATCTCTTCTCGCTGCTTCCTCAGCTCCTCCTCATCCACCTGCAGGGAGAGGGGAGGGAACAAAGAATTGAGGGTGAAGAAGGGGACAATGCCTGTGATGGGGGTAGGAGGCTGGTCTAGCTACCCTCTCCCAAATTCCCCACCAGTCCCACAGGAAGTCACTGGATATGAGGGCTCCTCATGTGACCTTGAGAAAACCCCTTCCCTTTGTGGACCTCAATTTCCTCAATTGTGAAATTAGGAGTCTGGACTAGATTCTTTTTTTTTTTTCCAATAAACAAAAGCCTTTATGTGTGTATGATATGGGTGGAGCCAGTCTTTTGTCATAGAGTTATACAATCTCAGTTAGAAGACTAGAGTATGCCCAAGGTCCCTGCCAGAGATGACATTCTATATTCTGACTTTCTTGTAGATCACAGATTTAGAGGTAAGAGAGGCCTCAGAGGCCATCCAAGGCCCTCATTTCACAGGTGAGGAAACAGGTCACAGGGTAGAAGATACCCAGAACTTGCCCAAGGTCAGAGTTACTAAGAGGCAGAGCCAAGATTAGAACCCAGGATCTCTAACTCCAATACCCTCATTGTCTCCACTGACCCATGCGTGTTGCCTCCTCTTCTGTTCTAAGGTCTCTTTCAGCTCTGACATTTTATGTTCTATGTTCTAAGGGACAGTGAGACAACATCTAATCTGATTCCCTCTTTTTATAAAGGGGAATACCAAAGACAAAGGAAGTGATTTAATATTCAAGGTCACGCAGCAAGTTAGAGATAGAACCAGCACTAGAAAACTAGGTGTCCTGACTCCCACTCCAGGGCAATCTTCATTATACAGGGCTAGTCCCCTCCTACTCCTGGGCTTGGGACCCACTGGGACATGAGACCCAAGGCTCCCAAGTTTTTCTGTTGCTCTCATCACTCCATGAGACATACACTGAACACTCGCACATAGTGATCGATGAGGTCCTCCACTACTCGGCCAGCCTTGTAGTCCTGACCATCCGTCTGGAAAAGCGTGGGCCCAAAGACAATTGCCAAGTTGTGGGTATTCATCTGATTGGTCTCCGAGAAGCACTGTACACTATGAAGGGTAAGAATACCTTAACTCAGGATCCTCCTTCCCCTAATCTGATAAATCCCTCAAACTCCCTTCCCCTGGAATGCCCAGGGACCTCAGAAAAAGACCCCAAGA